AGAGAGAGAGAGAGAGAGAGAGAGAGAGAGAGAGAGAGAGAGAGAGAAAGACGCAAGTTCTGGCTAAAAGCTGAAATCCAGCCAAATGTTACTGCTTGAGCTGAGTCTAGCCTGGTCTCCACCCTCTTTAAGCTTCAACCATGTGCATTGGCATTTTGGCCAAAAGCAGCTCTATCTGCAGTTGCGTGTAGCTGTTGCAATTACAGTCGAGTGCAGCCTACTGGTAGGTCTGGCAGGCCTGAGTTGTTCATAGCACCAGCTGCAGATAACCACTTGTAGCTATGGTCAGTTGGGCCTGGGGCCTAGGGTGAGCTAGGCTCAAGCAGGGAGCTGGGCCCAGGCCGCCGAGCCAAGCCTAGCTGAGCAGTTTTTAATGAATTCTTGCCACGTTGGGTGCCAAATGTAGATGTAACAGTCATTAAATAAGAAACACAGAGCCAAATGCAGAGTTAAAACCCAAGAGGTCAGAGCAGTAGCTAAGAGCTGAGACATAAAACTGCCTTCTTACACTTCCTGCCGCTGCCATCCTTCCCCTCAGAAAGAGACCTACTTCCTGTGTGTCTGTCTTTTTATTGACTTTCTGTTCTTCCTTCTTATTGGTTTTAAACCCAACCACATGACATCCTCGTCACTGCCTATCTATACAGACCTCTAGGTCTCTATGGTTGGTATTGAGATTAAAGGTGTGTGTCTCCATGCTGGCTGTATCCTTGAACACACAGAGATCTGCCTGTCACGTGATCAGGATTAAAGGTGTGCATCACCACTGCCCAGCTACTGCTTTGGCTTGCTATTAGCTCTGACCCCCAAGCAACTTTATTTATTAACATACAAATAAAATCACATTTCAGTACAAATAAAATATCACCATACAACTGTTTACTAACTACTGTTTTCTCAAGCACTCTGTGACAATCTTTCTTGACACGATGGTCAGAATCAATACTAACAGAAGAAAGAAAGTGATAGATATATCTATGGCGATTAATCTCTCCCAATCTATTGATATCTATTTACACCATTCATTATTCCCATGGCAGTGTGGATGATTTTTAGTTTCATGAGGTCACAGTTGTCAGTTTTTGGCCTCTATTCCTTAGCAAATGGAATCCTGCCTGGAAAATACTGTCTTAGACCTGTTCCTTGTAAGATACTGCCTATGTTGTCTTCTAGCGTTTCTAGTATTTCAGGATTCATATTGAGGTCTTTGATCCATTTCTATCTAATATTTGTGAAAAGTAATAACGTGAGTCCCATTTCATTGTACTGCAAGTAGATACGCAGTTTTCTCAGCAGGATCCTTGAAGACACTATCTTTTCTCCAGTGTAGGTGCTTTGCCTTTTGCTAAGGTCCACATGGCCATAGTAATGAGTCCTTGTATTTGGCTCTTCTACTTGATTATCTTGCTCTTTAAGACTATTTTTGTGCCTGTATCAGACTGAAACTTTCTCTCTGACAATGTTTTAAGATTATCATGGACTTACTTAACTTCCCCTTCCCTTTTCTCCCCATCTAAACAATACCATATGCCCTTTGTGCTCACTTCCAAATTCATAACTTCATTTTTCTGGAATTGTTCTCACATAAATATATGTGTGTGTGTTTATTCCTATGATTTTTCCACATAGGAAAATACAACCTGTTCAGTATGTATAATGTTACTTATGTGTTTACAAGCCTACCATTTGGTATTGAATAACCAATTAATATGCTCCTCAATAGAAAGATTATATCTCCCAATCATGGCTTTCATCAGTTGCTTGTGAGTTTTATCTCTAGTACTGAGGCCTCATGATGTTTCCCCAGTCTACTCTGGCATGCTTATTGTTGTTGTCATCCTTATTCTGCTGCTATTGAGCCAGTCATATAGATGACACCTTGTGGGTATAGTTTCTGATATTACTAGGATAAACAATCTCATACCAAACTCCCTGACCCTCTGGCTCCTTCTACCTTTCTGGCCCCTCTTACACAATGTTCCCTGAACCTCAGTTATGGGGATGTTTTTAATAAACTCCATGGGAACCAGGCTCCACATCTCTGCCTTCTGATTGGTTGTGATTTTCTGTAATTGTTCAGTGTGTTGAAAACAGAAGTTTGCTTTAAGAGAGGTGAAGAATAGACTTTTCCTTGGGTATAAGCACAACATTGTGATGTCTTTGTATTCATTTTTGTAGTCATTGCTGCTGTTAGGGGCTATGCTGGTTTTGTAAAGTGGCAGTTATTTATACTGTACATCACATCATTAGCGTGGGTAGTTAGCTAGGTTTTTTTTTTTTAACATTCTAGCTCCATAACATATCTTAAAGACAGCAATAATGATACCTCCTGTATTCATCTTTTACCTCAGGATTTGTGATAAAATCTAGAGTCATTTCTGGTTCCATATGAAAATTAAAATATATCTTCTTTTCTATTTGTGTGAAGAATGTTATGTTTTTTTGTTTTCCTTTTTTAATTTGGCATTGCATTGTATCTGTAAATTTTTTTTCTGGATGATCATTTCTCCAATATAAATTCTACCATTTTGTGATTATTAAATGCCTTTTCATTTAGTAGGATTTTTCTCAAACCCTTTCTCCTGAGATTGGAAGTTTACTTTCTTCTTCTTCTTCTTCTTCTTCTTCTTGGTTATGTAGAACCCAAGATATTTTCTTTTAAAGAAAGAGGCTATTTTAAATGGGATTCTGTCCATAACGTCTTCCTAAGGTGGCTTTGTTGTTAGAATACAGAAAGGGTGTTGATTATTGTAAACTTATTCTCTTCTTGTCATGTTGTTTAAATTGTTTATTCTACTACTTGTGATCTGGTACAATTTGCCTATATCTTAGGTATAATAGTGTGTCACCTGAAGTTGGGGATAATGTAAGTTCATCTTTTTCATAGATGTGTGCTTTCAATTTCCTTCTCTTCCTGTATTGCTCAGTGTAATACTTCCAACACAATATTTTAAAGGAGTGGGGATAGTGGGCACCCTGTCTTCTTCAAGATTTTAGTAGGTTTCTTTGCAGTATTTCTACATATAGGATGGTGTTGGCAAGTTAGTTTGTCAGAGATAGCTTTTAATATTTTGAAATATGTTCCCTCTGTTACTCTTCTCTCTGGGAGTTCTATTTATGAAGCATGAGATATGCTAAGGCTTTATTTTCACCATTGAGTTAATCCTGTTTTTGTTGCCTTGAGTACATTTTATGACATTTGGTATTTATAGAATTCTGTATGTTCAACCAAGCCTGTACGTCTGTAATAAAGAATCTGTAATCATTGTGGTTGATCTCCTTGATATGGGCATGTATTCATTTTTCTAGTAGGTTTTAAGGATGTTTACCACTATGGGCACCATATGAAAATTATGTAAATGTACATTGAATATACACAATTTTCAAAGAATATTACTCAAGTATGGTTTCTAGAGTGACATTGTTTAACTTGCCACACAGAGAAAGGTTAAATAACTGGGTTTTTTTTTTCAACGAAAATATATTATTGTTCCTTATTTATATATTTTGCTGTTAAATATTGAATGTAATTTGCATCTGTTATATCTTTACACTTCAGGAGACTGGATGTAGCAACACTGTCTAAAATCTTTTCTTTTTCCTTGTTCCAAGCCCTTTTAAAAAATTTCATCTGCCTTTTCAATCTTGATAGCTAACTACATTCTAAGGAAGCATTGTAATACAAACCGAACATTGTAATATTTACATTCATATTTGTAGGGCTTCATATCTATGGAATATACTTCTCATGAATTTACTCTATTCTTCAAATGTAAATGACTCATGTGCACCCTAGTAAAGCATATCCAGATTCATTTGCTTACTGAAGTCATTTAACAAAAGATAATCTCCTCAGATGTACTTTTGAAAACTGATTTCATCCTCTCTTTTAAATAATGTGGAACTCAATGGTAAACACAAAGAGCTTGTTATATGAAACCTTTTAGTTTGTTAGGACCCCTCAACCACAAATCAAAATTTACAACTGAAAGAGTAAATATGAAGCACAACATACAATTCACTTCTGCAGTGTTCTTGTCCGTGGCTCCAGTAATTGTGACATTTCCAAGTATTACAATAATTTTTAGTAATACAGATATCATTTGTTACACCAGAATGATTATGTTAATTAGATTAGTGGATATTTATGGGTTTTTGAATGAGATCCTTTTCACACGGTCTTTATTGCTTCTTGAAATGCTTTATTTAATCATTCAGAAAAGTAGGAACAGCTCATAGATCATGAGAATGGAAAGGAGAGATAAGTCAGGAATTCGATATGTGGTATGCTGACTTCACAGGAGAGGGGACAATTCATTCAGAAAGAAATGGTGATTTATATGTGATACTGATTCCGTGGTCAAGAGGATATGACCATAACTGTCATCCGGTTGTCCTCTGTGCAAACATGAAAGCAAATATGAAAACATAGTTGAAAGGGCAGGAAAGATTTCCTCCTAGAGAGTGCATGAACACAAAATTAAATATAACAATATAGAGTATAGAGAAGGGATTATAAACAAACAGTTCCTTTCCTAGAAACCACAAGTACTTTATACTTTGGATTCCATTGGAGCACTGTGTACAGGAAATAATGACATTCTGTGGCCTCACATGAAAGTTGACATTGAGAGGATTCAAAGAATACATAGAAAAGATCAGCATGCTTGTACCATATCTGTGGCAAATAATATTCCATAATCATAAGTAATCTAAGAATTTTCAAATGACAAGACACTTTTCTTGATCCAATATTACACAATATGAATGTATTAGTAATTCTGAATAAGATAAAAGTCCTTCACATGAATAAAAATATTCTATCCTTCACTTTTGACACTAAGATTTTCAGCTTTAAATGACAGATAATATTCTGTCCTGATTTTGTCTAATTTTGAGTTCATTGTTTTCCTTTCACATACTTACTTCTAATTTTTTTATGTAATAAGCACAAATACATACAAATATCAACATGAATAACCATGGCTTCTGTTTCTACTCACCTACAGAAGGTCTTTACTTGGGACAAGTATCTGTAAAAGAATATGAATGGTGTAAGGAGAGACAGAAATGTTATCATAAGAATATAAGAACAGCTCGCCAAAGACTATCTCTTCAATAACAATTGTAAGATAGCATATAACTAGATACAATCTGAATGAGGGGATTAACTGAGTACATAGATGATATATAGGTAGGTAGGTAGATAGACAGATAGATAGATAGATAGATAGATAGATAGATAGATAGATAGATAGATAGATACATATATACATACATACATACATGCATGCATGCATACATGCATACATACATATATACTCTATATGTATGCATACATATATTTATTAATATACATCAATACACACACACACATATATGATATAGCCAAAAAATTTTCATTGATGTTACCTGTAGCCAGAACATTTCGAATGTTTTCTGTTGGAATGTTCTTATCCTCAGCAAATTTCACAAGTTTTTCATGTTCTTCTTCATTTAAAGCCCCACCTTTTCCTACATTGCATGAATGACAATGTCAGAGACATGTTCGGTAGAATTCTATAAAACTTGCATTGCTTCCTTAGTGTCCCACCATGGTATGCAACAGAAAATCTCAACTTCTCCAAATTCATCTATGCTGGGAGGGTCAATACAATCAATAATAATTTCTCCATGTTCCATTTAATGAAGCCTAAATGGTGGTAAGACATACTTTCCAGTGTTCTATGATGCATCAAAATAAAAACTCTTCTCTAGAGAATTCGCACATCTCAATCCTATCCACTTTTAAAAACATAACACTAGGGAGTCATGAATGCCTCTCAATGGAACCTTCACATTTCTCCTGAGTCTATACTCGAGAGTTCATGTTTTAATCTCATACACACTTGATCAAATGATACTCATAATGGTCTGAACTTTAGGAAAACAATATTTCCTCTACTCTTTCTAGTGAGGAAACATGAAGACAACATCTTCCAATAGCCTCACCCCTTGTCACTAGTCGTCAATGACCATTCTGCTTGAATTACAATATAATGTAAGAGTTGGTCCACACAACAATAGGATTGTCATTTAGTGGACAGGAATTCAGAAATTCCATGATACTGTATTTGGGGCTGAATCTGCCTGAATCCTCTTTTGCAGAGTGATACTTTTGCTACATTTTCAGATAACCCACTACCATTCTTACCAAGAACAAAAATCAAGTTTGTTTCTGTGCCGGCTCTATCCACATTCTTACTGGTAAAGACTGCATGCTCTTCTGTTAAATACACAAGTTCATATTTGTTGTCACCTTCATCTGTAAAATGGAAATATTTAAAAACTCAGTGTCAGTCATTTTTCTACTTTATTTAATGTCACCTATTTGCTAAACATTAGTATTGACCTTGACTCTAGCAATCATCTCTGATTCAATATCACATGTGTGCAAAGGTGTTTCTGTAGTCATTTATTTTGTATATCCATCCCATCATAATATGGTGACCAATCATTTCTGCTCTTCAAACCTGATAGTGAATCTTAAGTACAGACACTTTCCCTTTTCTCTGAATTTTTTTTGTCAAAACTTGTGTGAACAGTCTGTTGGGTATTCCTTTTCCTTTCAACCAG